GCGAGAGCGGGAATCTGGAGCAGGAGCGGGAAGTGTCGATTTGCGACTTAGCTTCGCGTGAGAGCGGAAGTAGACGGAAAGGAATCGGGCTCCAACTATCAAATATTTAATTTTTTTATTACTGTTTTGATTTTAATGTTTATTTAACCAAATAAATCGAAATATCAAAATTTAATTAAAATTTTATATTCAATTTTAATTTCATGCTAAACAAAAAAAATCAAAATCTATATTATATATAATGTTTGATTGAACTAAATGATTGAAATAAATAGATAATTTATGAAATTAAATTGATATTATACATGAAAGAAATATAATTCTTAATATTTGTTCATAACCAAACTCCAACAAACAATTAAATTTTAGTTTATTCATAACGAAACATTTAAACATAATTAAATTTTAGCTCAAACAATTTAGTTATATCAATATCTCTATTAATTTGATTTTTCAAATTCTATTAATTTGAAAACTGATCCATCCAAATTAACTTAACTGAGCACCTATTTTTATGTGTTCAAATATTAGTTTTAACCTTTTATTTAAAAATTGAGGGTGGTGCTAACTACACCACATAATGGATTAATATATATATATATATATATATAGTTTGCAACAGTTTTCTGCTTATATTGTATTTTAGACCGACATCACAATTCTATATGAAAAATTGTTTTTTAATAATTAAAATTTAAAAAAATTGCAGTAGACTCTTACCTTTGAGAAGTCATGAATTGTGTGTTTGACTATACAGCTTTAGTTTTAAGGTTCTACACCAAAATTCTATTGTCATGCCTAAATGTCAATTAAAGGGCCGCTCTTTCCCCACCACTTAGGAAAGATCTTCTTCGTTCATCAGAGCAAAGTTGTATTTAGATTGGCCTCATTTTTATTTTTTATTTAAAAAAAAATGATAAACGGTGGAGATCGAACATCGTATGCATAAAAATTAAAGATGAAACCCGTCAAAATATATGTTGAGAAATTATGGCGAAGAAAAACAAGAACGACACAAATTCAGAAGAACATAAAGATTTAACGAGGTTCGGCAAAGATGTCTACGTCCTCGGGAGCAGAGCGACGACATTTTCACTAATTCAGAAAAATACAGATTACAAAATATAAGGTGCAATACCTAGGGTTACATACAGACATATTTATAACCCTATAAAGAAC